CCGGGGTCAAGTAAGCTTGGACAGTGGTAGCGAGGTCCTCAGGATGTAGGTTTGTTTAGACTGACCTTCTCTTAGATGGATGGCCTTACAGGGCTGACGAGCTCCATCTGCCCGGGGGAGTTTCCCTGACTGGGAATCGAACACCCAGGCCGCAGCAGTGAGAGTGCCGCATCCTAACCACTAGACCACCAGGGGGCCCCATTCCCTTAATAGAGCAATCTAAAATGATCAGAAACCTGGTGGAAACAAGATGTCCTGAACAAAAGAGAAGGCCCTTCCGGAAAGCCTCTTTGTAACAAGGCTTATGATGTGGTCTAGTACCATGTATATCCATCCCATGGATGGTGCAGAGGTATTCTTGAAGCAGATGTACCATTCTGCATGGCAGCTGAGGAGACTTTCAAGTTGGAGCTAACAACTAAATCGAATAATTAATTTCAGGGCAAATAAGACAGAATACTTAGCAAAATCATATACTTATCAAATGACACTAACTGCAAAAAAAAACTCTGCCTGAAATATTCTGGGCTCTGAAGGGTCCAATTTCTTTTCCAGAAGCAAGAGAAATTAAAGGAAGCAAGAAAGTGTGACAAAGAACAGCACCGTTTTGAGGCTGCTAACTGAATGACACTGAACTAAAATCACCTTGAATGAATGAAAGTTTGCAGCGAGGCCCTTTCTGTCCACCATGAGTACAGTGACTGCTGCAGCTGTAATCACTGGGTGAAGGGTTTAATCCTGAGAATGGTCTCTGGTAGGAGAGACAGACTCTAATCCTAAGTAGTTATGCAAGTACATATGCAAAGAAAGCAGTAGTTTACTTGTAATAACTAACTAACTAACTAACTAACTACTTACACCTGTGAGATGAAGGTTGGTTTTAGGATTACAGACCAATTAGTGACCTACTTTAGATGAAATATTAACCTAATTTTTCCAGTTACACTGCATTCCTAATTTGTCAGCTCATCTGACCCTTTTCTCACTCTGGTAGAGGCTGAGATTTTCTTAATATAGAAGACACAACATAATTTTAATTTACAGATGAACATTAGACAATCCTTTATGTCCAGTGTACTAAAAATGTCAATTTTTTGTGTTTCTAGAAAAAGTATTTAGTCACATACATTTTTACTTATCACATGAATACACAGAAGTGTTCCTACAAAATAAAGCCTTAAAATAATGTTAGTAAATATGTCTTCAGAAACATATACTGGAGCTGGCCCATAGTGTTACTACTGGACATTTCATTTACTTCATTAGAATACCTGTATAAGAGTAGACCAAAAAATTACATAAGCAAATTCATGATTTGGAGATTTATTTGCAAGACAAGCAAGTTTCATGTTTTTGAGTAAAATAAGCAAACATTCTGTCTAGTCATCACAAAGAATGGTCAGCAATACCAAAGACAGAAACAGATGAAATCTCTGTGAAAACTGAATCTGATCAAGAAAGTTTTGTGAGTAAATATGGGGACAGGAGATAATACAAATACCTGAATATAAGCAAAAGATCTTAGAAATCAATTTACTGCTTTGGTGCTAGTCTATGAAGTTACATCTGCACTAGAAAGATGTGATCAGGCAGGTATAATCCAGGAAGAATCCTGGCAGCAAAGCCCTATCACTGCAATAGCTTGAGAAAAGTAAAAGAGAAAACCCATTTGAAAAGCTTGCAATGAAGGAATGCATCACTATTGTGACAAACGGGATACCCCAGTACAAAACAAGCACCAATAACAAGCAGATTGCAAATTCTACGCCCATTAGGTTGCTTAAACTTATCTTGTTTGCTTCATTTTTTTTCCATTTGTGTTTCTGCATGTACATGCTTTTCACACTCAGTCACATCTTTAGGTCACATTGCAGATAATGTTTGCTGCAAGTAGTATTAACAAGGTGTAAGTGCAAGCTTTGCACAACTGTATAATTTCACCTAGATTGTTGCCAAGTACACATTAGAAATTCTTACCAGGAATAATTACAAAAGCAGCAATCAATCTCCTTTTAAAATGCTAGCGTTCATAATGGCCCGAAGAACAGTGCAGCATCTCAGCATTAGCGAGCGAATAAAAAAACAGTCTTCACAGAATGTGCAATGGATCCAATAAGGGAGAGACCCAAGTCAATAACAACTCTTAAACAAGAGCCTTTTAGACAAAACTTGACAGATGTAGATGGAACATCTACATTTCCACCCTCAGTGGAAAAATTTAAGGAAAAAACCAAACCAAACCAAACCAAAAAATTCAGCAACAAACAATTTAGCAAGGATAGTGCAAAGTTACTGTTCAATACAGGAGTGGTCATCTTCATGCCATCATGCCCAATGGGTATGTCCAAAGCAAAAGAAAAATTATAGGATGAGCAGAAGCCCAACAAATTCCTAGAAACATCCAAAAAAGTATTTGAAGTGGGTATGTTATGTAAATAAGAGTGTCTATGAACAAGACAAGTATTATGCCATAAAAAACATGAAAATCAAGGCAGTTTTCCACCAACCAACAAAACATTCATAGCTGACAGTATTACCAGGCACTGCAGACATTCCCAGTAGTGGCATGCACCAAATGGACAAGAGAAAAAGGAATCAGAAGAGCTGCAAAAACCAGGAGTAGTATGTAGACAAATTTGTAAGAGAACATGCAAAAGAAACGTCCAATTATTTGCCAAAAAATTGTTCAAAAACCTTTGCTGCAAGAGCAAGAAAATCTGACTGCATTTTGAGCTCTACATTAGGTATTTAATATATGCTGTGACACAAATGCTGTCTTCTCCATACTTACCAATATATAGAGGACATGAAAAGCTCTTTTACCCTGCTTGATGAAGGTTACTATGTTATCTCTGTAGTCCTGAACACTTGCATCCTAAATAGTTAGAATGAGTTTGGCCAATGAAAATTATGTTTACATGACATCGATACAAAGATCCCTCTGGCAGCTGTCTCATAAGCACAGGTTACAAAACCACTGAAACTGTTCTAATTTAGCCTAAGAACTAAAGCCACCACCTCTGCGTAGGTGGAGGAAAGGTAGGGAAAGCTTACTGTACTTCCTTCCCATCAGGCATGCTGAATATTGTTCTCCTCCAGATGAGAGATCCTAATTTCAAGAGAATGTGTATATTCACAATCAATATAAAAAAGTATGAGTTACAAGTGCCAGTGGATGCCGTATTAGAAGAAAAAAAGTTAAATGAAAAGGTGTAATCCACAAAAATACACAGAGGAAATGTTTCTGGATGTATCTGTATCTGTAAATTCATGAACACAAACTATATACAAAATGAAACAACTTTTGGCTTGAATAATTTCTGCAACATGGCAAAAACCAGTAGGTTTAACACATGCTTTAATATAAACTGTTTCTGTACATATCCAAAACAAGACACAGCCAGTGCTAAGAAAATCCTTAGCGACAGGTCTTGGAATGTGGTACATCATCAGGAATGAATAGATGGATTTATAAGCACTGCAGTGATTCTCAACAGTACAGTTCTTCAGACAAGAAAAAAAAGAAAAAACAAACAACAAAAGGAGAGTCGAAAAATTAGAAAAATCCAACAGATAGCTGGATTGATAAGAGAAATTTCCAAAGGAAATTCATACATACATGTGATCATGTAATTTGCAATAGAACCACCAGACAATCTGTACAATGAGGCTACAGCAGCAAACCCCCAATTCTGATTTTTTTTTTTGCTTAATGGACATATTAAAGAACTGCGAGTTCCTAGAAAGAAGAAGAGGACAAAATTATCAAAGATATATTTATGTGATCTGACCAAACAACTCTAGTACAAGCAAACTGTCCTTGATCTAAGTAACATAATTTTCATTTGTAACCCTGGAAAGGACAGCATTGCAGTAACAATCATCGATGGTCTCCTGTGTTTTATTCCCAGGTGTGTTCTTGAAGCAATTTTCAGAAGTAATAGCTTGCATACCTCCTACACATGAAATTCTAAGTGGCTTCTCATGATGCACCCACCTCACGATATACAGGTCAGGCATTTATGATCCTGATCTGTAATCAGCTTTATTGCAAGGATATCAGTGATTCAACAAAAATCCTGTCCTGTCTCCAGAGTTATGGTAGATTTCTCTACTTACCACACTTTGGGTTTAAGGCTGTTAGCAGTAGAGTAGCCTTCTTACTCAGTGGCAAGTACTGAAGGCAGAAAAAGTGAAGAGAGATAGGCACTGACCTTGGTAAGAGATTTGCTATTGATTTCAGTAAAACCACAATTTTGCTTTTAGGGAAGATGTTTCCAGACACCAAGCATACTTCTGGACGTGGTTGTTCTTTTGCAAAAGGGGAAAGGTTATTGCGTAAAAAGACTAACAGATTTTGCTATCAACCTTTCTTTGACTACGAAAATGATGACCAAGAGGTGATGTTTTTATTCTCATTACAAGAACAGAGAGCTGTTAAGTAATGCTATGCAATATTGGTACAACAGCAAAAGCACATAAAACTGACAGAAAATACATTTAGGCAATGAGAATCATAGAATAGTTTGAGTTGGAAGGGACCTTAAAGCTCACCTAGTTCCAACCCCCTCCCATGGGCAGGGACACCTTCCACTACACCAGGTTGTTCAAAGCCCCATCCAACTCAACCTTGAACACTTCCAGAGATGGGCCATCCACAGCCTTGCTGAGCAACCTGTTCCAGTGTCTCAACAATCTTATCCAGTTGGAATAAAGAGAAAGGCAATTCTGAAAGGATTTCTACGACACCTACAACACCTAGATATTCAATTTAATGACTGAAAAGGTCCCTTTCAATCCTGTGTTCTAAGTTAGAATTAATTCAGTGACATTTAGGGAAGGTTCAGAGATGTAATATGGAATAATGGGAATTTGGGGAAGAACCTAAGTTTTGAAAAGTAAGTTAAAATTATGTGAACCTGCATGTTAGTCACAGGCATTACAGCACATTGCAATACTCAAATTACAGAATGTAGATCTCAGCATTACAAAGTCAGAGATAATCTGGAGATATATCTTTAATGTAAATAATTACTATAATTAAGACAGAGCATATTAATGTAAAATACACAAACTTTTTTTTTGATTTAGAGACCATTAATTCTTCATCCAAAATGAAACAAAAACACAACTGGAAGTAAATGATTCATTTGCCTTTGTGGAAACTGATTCTTCACAATATCCAAATCTCATATTTTCAACAATATCCAGTCTCAAAATAAGCCTGTGGATGTTACCCAAAAAATACCTGAAGAGTGCTGAAGGAGAATAAAAAGGCATTGCAATTCTTCATTTTATAAGTGATTTTGCGATGTTTAATTGAAGCGGCAAATAGTGGCTGTTAACGAGGAAAATTCATGTAAAATTCCCTTCAGTAACCCTAACACAAAAATGTCACACCCTAACTGTATCAGCCTAAGAATACTCTTTCGCCTACAAAAATGAAAACACTTCTTTTCTCCCAAACACAGACCAGGAGATGAGTGCATCCTTAAAAATCAAGTAAGACTGAGGAGTAGAAAACTGTTTATCACTTAGTCTGAAAAACAGAAACACAAAATAAGCCCTATAGCCACTACTAAGGGAAAAGGACATTCATGATTTTTCTCCACAACGCAGACAAAGACAGGTACCTGGTTGTAAGTTTTGCATGCTGTGACTGGGTACCAATTTTCAAAGCTGATCCCTGTACTTGTGCCCGTTCCATCACTTTGGTCCAATGCTATGGAGTTGGCAATCCTGTCTGGCTAAATAACATAGCATAGTTCTGACAGCTGTACTATAACCGCAGTAGGTTCATACTTGAGTGCAGCTGAAATGGCTGACTAAAAAAGTAGTGTTACTGATTCACCTCAAACAATACCAAGCACGGAGCTGACCTCTCAGAGTACCTCTGCTTGGTAACCTCTCCATTTTGCTAACCTTGCATCTGCATCCCAAAAAAAAAAAAAAAAAAAGTACACATTCTGTTCAACTTCTACAACAAAGGTACTAACAGGCAGTTTAAGGTGTGGCCACATAAAATATGATTAATCTGAAACGATTCCAGCTGCTTAGTACATATTTGATTAGAGAATTTCAGTGCTTGGTCACACAGAAGGGTTTGAAATCAGCTGCTTGTTTTCTCTCTTATTTTAGAGAATAGGGGTCCTTAGGAGTTAGGGTAGAGAAGTGAAGCATTGAAGGACATTCTTGGAACTCTAGTATTGGAAAAAATGAGGAGTCCTCCACAATCAAGAAAACCCAACCCACCACCCTGCTCAAAAGCCAGGTAACTGAGTTCAAGTCCCAAACTCAAGGAAAGACTCTGAGATAACCTAGAGCTGCAGTTTTATGATCATCAGTAATCTGATACCTCTTCTCCAAAAACCATATATAACTATATGACCTGCTACTACACTAGATCATTTGTAAAATGAAAAGAATGAGCTGAGTCTTTTACTTCTGGTGCAAGGAAGGAGTATAAGTTTGCCTCCTCTTTACAGATAAATGTCATTAAAAAAAGAACTGCAGAATATGAAACTTTTTACACATAGTGGTCAGTTATCACCACAAAGCTATTTAGAAGTTACTATCTAAATGTTGTAAATAGATTTATTGATTACCCTCAGTTTCTGCTCTACTTGAAAAAAGAAGACAGTAAGAAGGTTGCAGCATGTTTGTCATCTGAATTTAAGGGCACTGGTAAAGTTTTCTTTGTATGTTTGATCCAATCTTAAAAAGATAAGATAACCAGACCTTTATTCTGTCATTTAGGTATGAACCTTGATTATCCTACTGAACTGTAATATTGTCCACCTGTGTGACTTCAGGAGGGCTTGATTTTGAAAGAACACTTGTTTAGTAGTAGCATTACTTAACTACTAACATGTTAAATACATGTTTATTTGTTCATTGAGTAAGCTTTGTTAAAAAATTGTGTTCTCTTGTCCTGAAGAATTTGAGTTATCCTTGTCCTTCTGAAACAGAGGTTGGTAATTGTTTCTCAGGAGTGGAAAATGTGGGATTTAAGGCAGCATACAGATGTGACTAGAAGAAAAACTGCCAACAGCAAGGGTGACAAGTTATTATTGAGGTTGCAAAACTAAACTGTGATGCATAGCATTGAATTGACACTGCAATGTTTTTATTGCCCTAGGAAAGCAAGCCTCACTGTAGAAAGAGAACAGACATTGTCACATCAGCACTGGATGCCTACTCTTCGTAGTATTTTCCGTCACTAACCTAGACTTGCTGATGATGTCTTACCCTAGAAAGACATGAAGTATCTATATTATAACATGACAGAAAAGTGGATAGTGTAAAAAGAAATAGAAAAAGGAGGTAAGAGTAGAAGCAGATCAGAAACTGCTAATGAAAAGATTAAAGATGCAAAAAAAACTTAATGAGAAAAGGGAGAGCCCCTCAAAAACATAACCTAAAAGAGACAGCAAATAGCAGAACATATCAGTACCACTGCCCACTGGCAGCAGACAACTAGAAAAAGCAATGCCTCTAAATACTTCAAAATGCAGAAAGAATCAATCTCTGAGTTTGACAGACACATTAGTAAGAACAAATTATTAATTATTTGAAATACTCATCTCTATGTTTGCTCACCAGCACAGCACCATTTAAAAAGTCTTTGAAGTAAACCTTTGATTCATTAAAGTATTCAATCAAAACCAATCTGTGGAATGACTTTATTGAAACTGTACTTTTATGCTCAGTTCTTTTCAACAATGGGCAAAGTTCAGCATCTCCACTAGACATTTTCCCTTCTCCCAAACAGCTTACCATTTTTAATACTGGAAGTTATTAATTTCTGAAATAATGTTCATTGCCATCAACATCTCAGTTTTTATCAGAACCCTGAATTTGTGCTACTGCTTGATCTTCTACAAGTTCTCCTCCTTGAGTCAAGTATTTGTTGGGCTACCCGGTCTCTCAGGGCACAAAAATGAAGTCCAAGGATCACCTGTGACAAAAAGAATGACTCCATTAGTCTGAATTCACAACAGGAGTTTTATTTATTAGATAAAACAATCTTTACTATAGCATTTAACATTATAATTTTAAAATTAAAAAACAAAACATCATCAAGAACAATACTTTTCTGAAAAGGCTTATGATATCTCCAATCTGACTAGCAAAAGATAGTTCCAATTTACATTCTAGAAAGTGCACTAAGAGAGGAAGACTCTTCAACTAGATTCTTACACTGCTCAAACTGAAACCCAGGACCTGTTTGAAAAGCCTCCAAAATGGAATTCTTACTGACAGATTCTCATCCTCAATTCTGCAATGATTGTTTTATTTAGCAAAGACTGAATTAAAAAAAAAAATCGTAAGTAGCTGTGTTCCTTAGTTCTTTCATAAGTAACTTCACTGATCTTGGAGATTACTCTTGAGTTTATTATTCTTGTTTGCACTCACAGAGCTGTCTTCACAGAAATTTAAGTTGGATATCAGGAGAAAATTCTTTACAGAGAGAGTAATCAGGCATTGGAATGGGCTGCCCAGAGAGGTGGTGGATTCACCATCCCTGGAGATGTTTAAACGCAGATTGGACGTGGCACTGAGTGCCATGATCTAGTAAATGGACTGGATTTGGACCAAGGGTTGGACTCGATGATCTCGGAGGTCTTTTCCAACCCAATCGATTCTATGATTCTATGATTCTAACTCTTGGACCTAAAAGAGGTGAGCATACAAACATTGGGGTTTTTCCCTTTTTCATTGCCATCTCATTCAGAAAAGTAGTTACCACACATACATAGGTTTAAGCATGTGTGCAGTCCTAGTGAAGTTAACTGCATCTTGCTGCTCCAGGGGCCTGAGGCCTCAGCAATATCAAGCTTCCTCTCTGCTTTCCTTACTATTAACAAAACAAAGAGCTTTAGCAACAAAACATTTGGGCCAAGGACATGGAAAACTGGGAAAAAGTATAGAACCCCAAATATACCTAGCACAGAACAGAGATAGGTGAGAAGGGTGAATGCAGCTTTCTGCCCTGATGTGGTAGGTGCTAGTTACCAGCTTGGCGCCAGTCCCTGTATTATCCCAACCCCTGTCAGATGTTAGCAGATAGAACAGGCAAAGAAGAGCGATGGTGAGACTGCTGGGACTCTTCTTGCCTGTTGGAGGGGTAGTCAGGGAACCTCTGGACCTCAACACATAAAGTGCCCAGGAAAAAGCAACCCACCAGGCCAAGATAACAGTTTCAAAAGGAAGAGAAAGAAGAGCAAGAGGTGTGATAGCACTCAAGAAAGCTTTTTTCATTGACCTTAAGAATGGTCCAGTTCTGCAATCATTACCCAAATCCACCATCACCAAAATGACAAGTGCATTCTAACTGACATTTTAATGTCACAACTCATAAACTAATCTCCGTAGTCAAAGACAGAACTGCTCCCTCACCTTGTTCTTGATGCATTGTTTTTCTTGGTGTGGGTAACAAAAAAGGCATAAGGATACCAGCAATCACCAAATTTGTGTGTATCACATAAATCACTTTATATGATCTCTTCGGTTTTCTGAGGTGCTCTAATTAAATGTAGATAGTTTCAAGTAAAAACTACACTTATTGCTAAAAGTACCAGTAGTTCTTTAATCCACCTTCCCTAATGCTAGTTACTGCATCATTTCAGGGTGAAAGTGTTGAATGACCTTATTTCTGATGTATGAATATTAGTAATGGAAAACAAGACACCTTAGGATGATTTACACAAAACTTTTTTAAAGTGAGCTATTCTCATTCTTTTAAGAAATTAATTATTAAAGAGAGCACATCAGTTTAAAGTTCAAGATGTATGAATGTGCTATCAAGATATAGTCATTAAAATCCTTATGCCTTGAATGTTTCCCTTGAACTTTGTGCCAAAGTTAAAAGATCACAGACATCATAAACCAAATTCAGTCTTTGTGTAGGTCAGCATTAAATTGCAGCTGTTCCCATCAGGACTGAATTGGTGTCAGGCACCTCTTAGATTACAAAGCCACCATAAAATTAAAAACAGACCAGAACTATGCAACTTATTACAAGTCAAGTACATTAAATAAAAGAGGATCCTACCAGTTGCATCATCAGCTTCTGTGTCTAGAAGAGCATCTACTGAAGCCATGCTTGTGCCTATGAAGGAGTCTGTAGTATCAGACACTCCTCGCTTGCTGAGACAAACTTCGAGTTACTGACTTCTCTGCTTTGATCAGTGTCTTTTACTAACCTTCTGACTGTCAGGAAGGTTACATCACTTGTTGAGAAGGTTTTTCTAGGCCTTCCTACTATTCCCCAATGCACTTTTAAAATCATAAGTCCACAGGTTCAATTTGCAGTTATCTTCCAAAAAATATTTATATAATAGAGAGTAGGACAGAGATGCAAGATGTTTTCCCCCACCAAATCCACCTTTTTGGTAAAGTGTTAAAATACTCTTTATTTCTGTTAGTCCTCTCTTGCAAAGAGGGAAGAAAATCTTCAGTGAGATACATTTTCTTCAGGAGGCATCTTCTGTTCCTCCCTGACCTTTTTCCGCTGGAATTTTCATCCTGTGTCCTTTTTCCTCAATAAATATGCCAGCCATACTTATTAATATAAGTTGTTGCAAAACCAGAATTTCCTTTCTTATTACATCTCTCTAGAAAGTCATAACTGTCTTTGACATCACCAAGTTACAAGCTAGTTGTATGTATAAAGCAGATTATTTTCAATATAATCCCTTCCTGAATAATCTGAATTAGTGTAAACAAGATTTAGGAGACTTTAGTCTTCAGATTTACAAATATTAGGCCAGAGTTTTCTAAATACTTATGCCCTGTCTTAAGTTTACTTGCCTGAGTAACCCCTTCTTAACTGAAGGCCAAATTTAATAGTGGTGCTCACATAAGTAAAGTTATGTCCAGGCATAGGACTTTGCAGGATTAATCAAAACCACTTAGCACACCTTTTTGAATCTTATCAATTATGTTATTTCCAAAGTTTCCCTTTATCCATGTACTAAAACGCCCATATTTTAAAGAAAGAGAAACCTACAAAAAACTTAACAATAAAAGCTTGCTATTTTTTTGCTAAAAAGAACTATAAACTATCTACCATATAGTACAAAGTATCTACTTGTTTTTATTAATCCTTAATTTCAGAGGGTAAATCATTATCTAGTTCACGTTCCAGTCTCAAATAGTTTATGTTCAGAAGAATGCTCTATTCCCCTGGCTGTAGGAGATTACTGTTGCCAGTTTGCTGCAGTTCTTAACAGCCACTATGACAGAAAAGGCAAGAACAAGAAATGCAGTAAGAGTGAGCAAGTGAGCACGTGTTGAGTTTCAAGAGGGATTACATGAGATGTACAGCAGAGAGTATGCACACACATAGAGCCCAACGATTCAGTTGTTTCCAAAAAACAGGCACCACGTTTATTTCAGACTTACTACCAGACACGTTTGCATTGCAACTCCCCACAGAAGTGCTGAATAGATAGTAAATCGATTTACTAATTGAGGAGGAGAAGAATATCACCCTTTCCCCTGGTGTAGCCCCAGTAATATGCCTGTCTCAACCCTCTCTTCCCCCCATCTGAAAATATCCCAGGGAACAAGAGTAGTCAAGTGCTGACTTGGACTTCCGGAGTTTGAGTCTCCTCTCAATTACACACTATTGCAGTGTGTAACCCTGCCAGCTCCAGTGAATGAGATTTCTGTGAATGAAAGCAGGAAGCAAATACAGCTTTTAGAATTTACATCAGCAGCAACCACAGGGAGAAAAAAAATAAAATTTGTTACTCTTCTTTTTGATCTTGTGTGTGGCATTCCACTGTGGCTGAATAAAACTGAAATGTACAATACATTCGAATTACCTGAATTAACCTTGGAAAGTTTAGCATGCCACTGTTTGCCAGAGTCCAATAGCTATAGCTATCTTAGGCTAGCTCACAGCAAAGCCTGGGCTCAAGTTCCACCTCAGATGAATTTTAAACCACTAGGTAATGAACTTAGTAGAGTAATAATAAAGACCCTGAGAGCTGAGTTGAGAAAAAAATAAAAGCAGCTTCCCAGTTGTCAGGGAGTGAAATTCTGCTTTCATTAACAGTGTGGCTCTCTTCCCATGCTCCTGTATTTTTTCAATGAAAGATGCACAGGATTTAGAGTGCACAGATTTGGTACACGTGCGCAGCAGCTGGTCTGACATGATAAAGCAGAATGAATCTGAAGAAGTTCCTGCCTGTCTGACCAATAATCCATGAACTAAGAGGGATTTACTCAATAGGCCAGCACGGATTCTATCCTGTCAAAATTAGAGTTTTACTTTTTTTAAAAACGTGCCTAAAGCTGTTTTCTGTTAGATGTTTCCCATTCCCCAAAGACCTAGACAGCAAGTAGGAGGTGAACAAAGCAGGGTGAGGGAATTGCCTGAATCCTGCAATGTTTATAATTTCGTATTTCCTTGATTTGAAGCTCCAACCATAGCATTTGTTACTGGAGACATTTCTGTAACTCAAAGAAAATCAATCAGAAGAATAGCATCCAGCATGCACAGACACACACTGTATGCCACAGCAGCATCCCCGGTATGGTGACTACATTTCATTCTTAAGTACGGCTTACTTGCCGTTCTCTTCTGCTAGGTGGGAACTGCCGAGAGCTAAAAATAGCACCACGACTCGGTGGCGGGAGCTAAAAATACCCTTTCCCGCTCGATTACCGACTCGACAAGGAAGACGAAGCCCTTAGCATCTGTCACAGCCTATAACCGCCAGCTGAGGATGCGAGCAGAGCCCAGCCCTGGAGTTGCGCGCCCGGGGAAAGTTTTACGGACAGACGAAGCGGCCACAGCTCCGCGACCCGGGACCGCGGACCTCCCCCTCCCCAGCCCGGGCGGCGCCCCCGGGCCTTCCCATCGCCCCTTACCCGCGTTTCGCAGCTTCTTGTTGCGGTAGACGGAAAGAACGACCAGGAGGTTGCCCAGCAGGTCTACCACGATGGTGAAGATGAGGATGGCGGCCAAAGTGGAGGTCACCCAGGGCTGGCGGCGCGGGGCACCCTCGGCCGGCGGGTCCCGCGGGAGGACGGAGCTGTTCAGCTCGCTCCCGTTCAGTCTCATCCTGCCGCTGCCCCCCAGGGCAAAGCCGAATACGGGTGAAGCGGGGTCGCTCGCTGGCGCTGCTTCCCGGCAGGGCAAGTCGAGGCGGGGGGCCCGGCCACAGCCGCCCTCCGCCGCGGGGCTGCCCGCCCTAAGGCGGAGCGGGGCTGGCGGGAGCGCCTCCCATGGCCACCGCCGCCACTCGAGCAGGGAAGTTTCCCCAAAGTGTACATGTGCCGCGGCGGGACACTTTTATAGGCTCCCCCGCCCGCCGCCCCGCCCCGCCCGCCGCCACCGCTGCCGCCAGGTGACACCGACCGCCCCCGCGCCGGCACGTGCGCCGCCGGGGGCTCCGGCTGCGCCCGCGGCCCCGCAGCGCCCCCGCCCGGCCCCGCCCCGCCACCGCCGCCGCCGCTCCCCATTCATGCTCCCGGCCGCTCCATTCAGCGACCGCCGCTCCATTCAGCGGCGGAGGCGCGAGAGGGACCGACGGGGGTTGCTGTCTGCGGTTGGGTGGTTTGCAGCGCTCGCCGCTATTTTTAGCTCTCCTGGTTAACGCCGGCGCTTAATTAGGCGCTCGCTGGACTCCCTTCCCCTCCTCCCCCTCCTTCGTTTAACATCGCACCCGCACGGTAACGTGAGCGCGGCGAGAAACCTCCCATCGGGGAGCGTGTCGGGGCTGCTATAAAAAGCTCCTCGCGAAGCCGAGCTGGCTGGGCGGACGGGGGGGGGGGGGGTGGGCGTTTGAGGACCCGCGTCCCAGGAGCACCACGTGCTGTTACAGCAAGCGGGGCGGCGGGGGGGACACACACACCCCCACCCCCTCCTTCCTTCCCTGTAGCGCTTCCTCCCCTGTCTCTTCGGGCTTCGGCAGCGGGGACGAGTTGCACCGGGAAGACAGAGAGCAAGGTAGCGGGGATGCCCTTTGCCACCCCTACGAGCCCGGTGAGGTCTGGCTCCCCTGTTCCCCAAAAGCAGCGCGGAGGGAACAGGGAACCATTGCCCAGCCGTGAGGAGTACCCAGTTCAGTGAATGGAGTATCCCTTCATCCCCTCGTGCGGTGGGCGCTCCGGTTAAAAAAAAAAAAAAAAAATAAAATTAAGGCATTCGCTTGTGGCTGATTCTTCTCGCTTACGTGGTATAGAGCTATTGAAAATCTCTGAGCAAGCTGGGCGTGGGAATTACTCTCCCATTCAGGATAATGGGCTGCGAGCACGGATGGCAGTGCGCGCTGTCCTCCGCGGAGTGCAGGGCTGGGAGCGGCGCTGGCGGCCAGGGGCGACCCCGCGCACCGCCATCCCGGACAGAGCGCTTATGAGGGGGCTGCGACTGGGAGTACCCTAAACCGCGGAGGGAAAGGAGGGAGTCCGCGGCGAGAAAGGGGGGAGAACGCAGCGGGAAATGGGGGAGTCTGTGGTGGGAGCGCGGGGCTCCTCCTGAGGCGGCGCAGCCTCCACGGGGTGCTGCACAGGCAGTGTCCCTGCGGGATCTGCGCGGGGCAGGAGGGGCCCCTGCGGCCGCAGCCTGCGCTCAGCCGCCCAGCGGTCACGGTGCTGTATCCAGCGGCAGTCCGAGGTTAGGGATAACCAAAGTGTGACCAATAGTTACGTAAGGGCGGCGGGTGTGGCAAGCAGCCGCGGGAGCAGCCGGTCCGCAGCCGCGGAGAGGCGCGGAAAAGGCAGGGCGGCGGCAGCAGCAGCAGCAGAAGCAGCAGAAGCAGAGGCGCTCCCGCCCCATCAGGCGCCGCAGTCCCGGCCCACACGGCTGGGCTGTGCTGGGCTGCGGAGGTGGTGGGTGGCAGGGAAACCCCGAGCTTCCCATTCATCCAGGGTTTTCTTTCACCACCGTGGGCGGCGGAGCACGGAAACAGCGGCTCAGACTCCCGCTGGCGAACGAGACCGGTTTTGTTCCGTGGAGGAGCGATGATTATTTGATCACTTACTGACTTATTAAGTGCTCAATATTCCGGTAGCGTTTTTTCCCCCCGCCCCGATAAACAGCGGATCCGGGGAGATGTGTCAGCACTGCAGAGCATTCCTTCCAACTGCTTCCCGAGGAGAGCAGAGCCCATCACTGGAGATGGACAGCAGCAGCCTGAGTACAGGGGAGGTCGCAGAAGGAACCCCACACCCCGCCCCCCCCCCGCCCCCGGTGCTGCAGCTCTTGGGCAGAGGGTGACTGAGCACACCCTGACATCTACATCCACCTGCCGCCCCCCCACAACCCCCTCTTGCAGGTCGGCGCATGTGTCCGTGTGGGTGCATAACAAGTAAGTTATCGAGCTGTGGGAGAAGATTACATATACGAAGAGCCAGTATCAGGGGGCCATCAGATCAAGGGCAGGCACACGTGGAGACAGGCAGGACTGTCTGGTCCTCAGTAAACCTCAGCAGGTGTTTCGCTGGACAGGGAGGGGCTGGCTGCCCGGGGAGAACTGTGAAGTTTCACAAGGTCAGGTATTTTTAACTAGAATTTAGAACAATGATGAGGATCAGCCTGGGATTTTGCTTCAGAAGAAAAAAGGATTCTGGTCCACGCAGGGACTGCTGTCATTTGTCTCATTCCTGAGATGTTCAGTGACATGTTTGCAACTTAGGCCCACAGGGGACTGGAGACATCACTCCATCTATCCCATCTTAGGCCCACAGGGGACTGGAGACATCACTCTATCTATCCCATTTTACTCTTGTGACAAGACCAAAGAGAGGTTACTTGTGCTGGTGAGAGCAATGCTCAGGGAGGGGAATGCCTCCTGAAAAGGGAACTGAAGAGGTTCTGTCAGAAAACCTATCAGAGCTAAGGCTGACCCAAGCACCAACAAGGGCCATGATACATTGAGAAGTCTTGCGCTATTGCTCCATGTGCTGACTTTGTTTCCTGGAGAGTGGGAGATGAGCATCAGAATGTGGGTCAGGCTCCAGCAAGAACCACCTTCCCATTCCCACCAGGGAGTGGGACAACCTTCTCTTTCCTCCCTCTCACCTTGACAGAGACACCTCATGCTAGAAAATGCTGACTTTTAAGGTTTTACAATTGTTTACTCACATTTTGGAGAGTTAGAGACTTTTAGATGCCACTCAAAACAAGCTGTGAAAACTGCAGAGGAACAGATCTAAAAACATCAGGCTATTTCACACCAATCAACATTCAGAGTCAGTCAGACAGTCTTAGAGGCAGTTTGGTACTGTCTGTTACATCCTCTGGGGCTGGTCTCTCTGCTCTCACATTTTCTACACTTTTTCTACATATGTATTTTTAAAGTATAACTAACTGAAAGCAGTGTAAGATAAGATCAAGGCATAAGAACAAAAAAATCATTAGGGCCAGTCACCCCATATTATAATTATTTAAATCAGGATTGACTTCACTGTAATCAGAAAAGTTGGTAGAGATCTTATTACATGAAGACACACAGAACTTGTCTGATCTGTCATAGAAGAGGCCTCATTTGTCGTCATTTGAATTAGGTTCGAAGTGTGACTGCTGTCTGTTTTGTCTCCAGCCAAGTTTCCTGAAAGACCTTGAACTGATGTTGTAGTCTTGGTTTTGGTCCTGTTTCCTGTTAATGCATCCTGGGCTCTCTGGATGGGTACTGGGCCTGAGTCTTCTTTTTGTTCTATCTAGGGCTGTCAACTGAGCCTGCTGTCAGCATCTGGCTCTGCCTGCTGCTCTTAGGTCTTGTGAGACTGTGCTCTGGTTGGTGTGGACAATGCCTGGGCTATGATTTTCCTTGGCTCCAGGTTTGTCTTTCCTGTGGAGAAGCTCTTACCCAGCAAGGGATATTAGATGAGCACCATCGGTCTGAAAAAGTAGGTGAAAATGTAGAAAGCGTGAGAAGAAACTATCAATTCAGCTGGTTCTCTGAGTAAGAGAATGGCAGGTGGGACTGAGATGGTCAGTAACAAGAGCAAGTACTGAGAACATGCTGGTAGTGGTGCGTGGCAGAGAAGGGAATGTAAGGGTAAAAGACATAACACTTAACTCCATCTGAAGAAGTTCTTACCATGGTACTGTGTAGTTTTCATCCATCAGACAGAATAGCTGTAGAAGCTGATGACAGGTAGTGTATCTTGGAGGGGGTTGACTTGGATACAGATATGGGAGTACTGGAACAAGGAAATAGGTAAGTTCCCGTGCCTGGGGCAGTGAAGCAGGAGCTTTTGATATCCTTTATGCTCTGGTGCCTTTCTTTCCTTCAGAGAAGCCCAGGAGCTGCATGAATACATAAATGCAGACTTTATTCTGCTCAATCACAATAGGTATTTCTGTAGTGACAATATGAAACTATCTTAAGAGTTAAGGTGGAAAGGCATAAGGTAAATGAAGTGGCAGTGTGTTTCTGTGGCAAGCAGTAATGTGGAGAGTAGAAGCAGCTGCTCATTTGAATGCTCATCATTAAATTAGGTGGGTGTGGATTCTGTCTGATGCTGTTCTTCATTATTTTGAGTTCTTCATTATTTAAGAGTTCCCCTGTTATGCTGAAGAACAGTTACTATGCTGACGGTTCTTGGGCACTCCAGGAGAGACGGGAAACTTATAGCTCCTCTTCACTTCAGTGCTCTGAGACATTTTCACCATTACATGTCAGCCTCTTGGGCTGCTCTCTCAGCACACTGACAGAGTCATTTGGCTTTCCCCACCAACTTGCCTTGACAGCTGATGTTTAGTACACAACTCTTGCTGATACACCGATGGTGCAATTCCACATCCTCAAAAGTAAAACTGGTGTGGCAGCAGGTTTGTTGCAGCTCATTCCATGGTAGAAGATATCTGCTCTTCATTACATCAGACCACTGGCTGTGATGCTGCTCTACATATGAACTTGGCTGTTGGTAAATTTTTTGTCAGTGCTACTGATGCATCAAGAATCGCTAAGAAAGTTCACTACGTAGCACTGAGCTCTCTTAGTGTAGGGACTGCCAGATCTTTTGATATTTAAAAATTTTTAAAGAGTAAACCAAAGAAACAGTGGAAACAGAGTTGTAATTTGAATGAGTGACTCATAAAATCCTTGGCACAGTTTTGGATACTTTTATTGATGTTGCCTGTTGTGTGATTACAGATATATTGAGAGTAACAGAAAATAAAATGCAGTTCACAGTGTTTTTTCTTATTTCAGTGATTTTTGTCATCTATAATTTTTTTCAAATAAAAATTCCTTTCCAAATTTAGCTGTCACTCTTTCAGTTGTTAGTAGAATTGTTTTCAAGTGTGTCTCTCCCATTGTCATGCTTTTCC